ATATTAATAATAATAATAATAGCTCGTCCGTCAATGTCTGACGATGACCAATATATCCGCAGAGGAGAATATTTCTCCTCTGAAATAGAAGAATTTGAAGAATTAAAGGTTGCGATGACTTGTGACTTCTGCTGTGGCCGACGAGACCAATTGAGGTAGAGAAAAGTTTGTCACATTTTGAACAGTTAGAGGCTCCACTTCCACTTGTGGATGTGAGCAACTTGCGAGCTTCTCTCTTGGTTTCAGCACTTCATATTCGCGAAGCCTCATTAACGATACGTCTCTGGTAACACCACTGCACTCCTCGGGTTGGAGACCAATCATTGAGGGGCGCTCCATCATATTAGTTGGTATCATGCTGGATTACGGAGCGGATGACTCTGTTTTGAATTCCTGACTGGGCGTACTTGAACACTTGTCGTTTTTAACACTGGGCGTTTTGTGGATTTTTTATGGCTCTCATTTCATTTGGCCCTGACCTATCAAGGGAAGGACGTTAAATTCGATAACAAGAAAACAGTTAGACAGATGTGTCGTTTACCCCATGGGGCGGTGCTACTGGCTGAAGTGTCTTTAGGCCCTTCCCAAAGGGTGGGCATTAGCATGTTTTTATGATCAATAGAAATGTAAATGGCCTGATTCATCAATGCCATACTCATAACTGTGCCTGAACTGCATACGGGGAAACTGCTGCTTTTTCTTTCCTAACGCTTACTATCGTCATTTTCCTCTACTTCTTTCGTATATTTGTTACTCTCTTGTGGCCCGCTATTTCCACCATTTTCCGGGGTGCCTTGACAGTCGAAGCAGACTTTGCCCTGTTGAAGCTAGAGAGGTGAGCAGAGTAGACCTGATTCCCTGTATGGACTTCTCTGTTAACATCCACCTCTTGGCGCCATTGCGAGCGCCGTAAAAACAACAACAAAACAACTCTTCTAAAACTAAAAAGATGTGTCGTGTGTCCCCAAGAGAATCACACTCAGTGACAGGGAAAACATAAAGGTTTGGAATCTGAAAGTAGTATCACTATCGCTCACATAAAAAACCAGCATGGCGTCAACCATGTGTGTGCAAAGATTACGAGGCATACTCCATTTATTGGTACTCGCACTAGCCAACATTAAGAAATTAGATACTTTTGGATTTTACTGAGGAATGTGTTAAGTTAGAAGGATGGTTAGACAAGACACTACCTCAGAATTGCCAAGTTCCGTCTACTCGTAACTTTGATTAATTTGACATTAAACGTTTTGAGTTTCACAACATGTGAAGATTTTTCAAATGCAAGTCTTTGTATTATCTTACAAATTTGAAAGAGCACATAGAACATATTATGATTTCTAACCTCGTGGTCTTAGTAACTCAAAACGGCCAAAAATGTCATATATAACGTTGTAATTCTGATATAGCAAAGGGTTCGGAAAACAATGCAAAAACGCTGCTTATTATAGCAAGTAAAATGTTTCTTGAGAGTTACAGAAGACTAGTTTTTAGGTCAAACCGAAGTAGGCCTACTTCCAGAAGTGGGCATACTTCCAGAAGTAGGCCTACTTCGAATCCAATTGAGGACGTACCCCAAACTTGTTGTCATGATAAGGGCTATTTTTGTACTATGTAAACGTATGTCTGTTTACCGTGTAACAGAAGCGGTTTTTAACTTTCTTCAAAGAAGAAAAAAAAAGG